TTCCTTCCTCAGCAGAAAATACACTGCTTTCTCTGCAGAAGGAGGAAGGCTATTTGGGGTGTGAGAGATCCTAGGATTCCTTAAAAAAGACCCAGATTTTCCATGTGCTCCCCCCATACTAAGCCTCAGGGAAATAAGCCAGTAGCAGGGATTTCTGTGTCTCTTACTGCTTAGTTTGAGGTTATCATATAGAGCAGAGGGTGTCAGCCTGTATTTTCTCTCCGGGACTGGAAGTGTGGTGGCCACTTGGAGCCCAGCAGGGATAGAGGATGCTGACTGTCGGTGAGGCAGGTGGCTGTTGGTGAAAGCCCTGGGCAGGGGCTCCTGACTGCTTCTCCATTTGCAGCTCGGCAGGAGCTGGGAGCACAGCTGAGCTGAGGTGCAGTTCTCGCTGCGCTGCCAGCGCTGACTGTTGAGAGCCATTGAAAATGTGCCAATACACTGACTTTGACACCCTGTGGCTCTGGAGTCGTGAATGAGGTTTGCCGAGACCGGGGAGATTAATATGAGCATTCCCATGATGTGGTTAACTACATCATTAATTCCAGAGACTCCTGGGACAATGCTGACACTAGCTTTAGTAGCTGAAGTATTTAATGTGTTCTCCAAGACACTTGCTAAACATAGATAGAACTGAGTGACATAAATGTATTTGCAGAACATTTTAGGGTTAGCGTGCTCCAGAACAGTGCAGTCAAATAATTTTGAATATTACTTAGAAATGTTTTTTTAAGAGGATCATGATTCTGTCAGGAATCATGATTATTAAATATGTCACAAATTTTCCTCTCTATATTTTTCATACCTTTTTTCTCAAAGTATTACTCACATAATTTTCCCTCTGAAAGTTATTACGAGTGAATCACCTTTAGCTCGAGTGAGCAAACATGACCAAGTGTTTATTCTGTTCACAGCTGAGCAATTTTAAGCCTTGATCCTGACCTTAAGAGAGTCCCCGAGTAAGGCTGGTGGATAAGCCCCAACAATACACCACTGGTCCCTGGAGCATTGTGACTCAGAGGCACATTTCTTATTAAAATGTTTCTGCTTTTAACTGGAGGCAGTCATGTCTTGCTGACCAACATCTCCAGCGCGTTACCAGTCCCGCCCTGCTTTCTCAGCTGCAGCTTTTGGTGGGCTGCGGTCCCACATCCTCCCCAGGCACCTGCTGTGATGGAGAAGTGAATGGGTGAGTAGCCCTGCGGGCTTCACTGCCGTTAGGCCTGAGTGCTGGAGGAGGAACAGGGAAGTACTTATTTTCTTCCATAGGCAATTAATTTAAGTCATGATCTGTCTGTGTCTTGCTCTAGAGGCAGAAATAAAAATGGGCATCAGCAGCTCAGCCGGAGCGTGGGGGATAGAAGCTCAGCTTCAGGCTGCAGCTGCTGTTGGGGAAGACCAGCTCTGGGCTCCCCAGGCCACCCTGTTCTGCCTCCCAGCTGAGGACTGGTTTCAGCTGGGCTTTCTCCTCCTGACTTTAGCAAATTCATTTTGCAGTGACAGCTAATGGAGGGCAAAGTGTTTGCTGCTGGCTTGTCTGTAAAAGATTCTTTGTAGTCTGCTACTAATCTGAGCAGTTTTGCAGCCTCTGTGAATGCTATTGTCTTGAGTTTTGTTTTCAGTTCAGGTCTTGCCACCAGTCTCACATGGTTTCCTGGCTGGCGGAATAATCTCTAAGCTTAGCAAACAGAAGGCTTATAGCGTGTCAAATGAGCAGGTGAGGGAAACTGCACACCCTGCGAGAGGAGAGCCTGCAAAGGAAGGCAGCAGGTGCAATGGAGTATGGCTCAGGGCCTGCAAATAGGTTGGGGTGAGGAGAGGGGGAGGACTCTGGGAATCAGGACAGGATTGGAAAAAAAAAAAACAGTGCAAAGGCTGGTGTCATAAAGCTTCTTCGTGCAATTTGCAGAAAGGAAGGGACTTTGGCAGGAGACCAAGAATGCTGGTTTCCTAGCGTTAGTGTTTTTCTGTTGCGGCAGGGAGAGATAAAGGGAGAACAGCAACTGAGGCAAGTACCGGAGCTGGTGAAATATATCACATATGTCATATATATTCGCGCATCAGTCTGATGACAAGAACTACAAGAAAGCATGCTGGCTATCAAATGTCTCGGTAGCTCTTTGAGACAAGCATAGCTGCTCTGGTTAAATGTATGGCTAGCTGGTTGGAAGGAGAGCTAGTCGTAGCTTGGGAATGGGTGCACTAAAAGCTTCTGAGGCCCTTGAAGTGACCCTTAATTATTAGCTAATTGGCTGAAATGTATTTCTTTCCTAATGAACGAGGGAAGGAAGGGAGGCTATGGTCAATGGAAAAGAAGTTGGTAATCTCCTATTGAAGGCAGTAGAAGGCAGATGTCAGCCTGGTCTGTAGAAGCGAAGTCACTGGACTTTCTGTGCTGCTACACAGTGATGTCTTAGCCATGTGTCTATCAGTAAAAAACACAAAACAAAAAACTGGAGCCCACTATCGGTAAGAAGTCACAGATCAGGCTCTACTGCCTGTGGACGAGGCTTTGGAAGTAACCTGACATTGCGTTTCGTGGGCTAATGCTCCTCGGAAGAAAGGAGCAAGGTCACATACGTTATATTTGAGGTGGCTGTATAAGTGAGGACACTGCCTTTTGAGAGAGTCAGAGGGGAAATACAAGAGAGTAACTGTTATTCTGCGAGTCTTACTCTCTGCCAAAGCTACTGTAAAAAGAGTGAAAATTTCTGTAGGGGAAAACATGAGTAGTCTTAATCTCGAATTGCCTTCTTTTATAATGCATAATTTAAAACGCATGTTAGTATTATCTTTGCATGATATAGTAAGCAGCCGTGTAATGTTCTCTCTTTGAAGGCAGTATTATAGCTGCCTATCTTTGCTCAAGTAGCTACAAGGTCAAATCCTAGCTGATATCTCACAGAAATTGTAAAACAACCGAACGGATGTTAAGCTGAGACCAACTCAGGGTGTCTCTTTCCTTGCGATAGCAGCTAACAAAATTAATTTA